AAAATGCTGTACCCCTTGGACTCCAGCTACATCCAGGGGGTACGCGTTCTTAAGACGCCAGTCCAGATACATCCACGGGGTAGGGCATTTTAAGAACGCTGTACCCACAAAAGCTCGAAAATTCAACCTCGATCGGGGCAATTTAGTCGGTTTCAATTTTGTTCAAAGAATCGAAAAACAAAAAGTGTCCATTTTGACAAACTCGCTGTTAACACGCCTACATCACATGCATTCACATCAAACATGTTCATGCCCGGGGAGTGTCGGGGAGGGCGGCCTCCCCCACACATGAACATGCCCGCCTTGCTCAGATGATTCCACACACAAGCCCTCTCGCTTTGTTATCAGGAGCAAAAGTAATGACTTTCTTCTTCTAAACGTTTGGCTGTTTACAGGACACAAGACACGCCAACTTGAGCTGCGTTGTAATGAGGACGCATACACCCTGCCAATTTTCTGTGATGCTACCCACATCAGCATTCTAATGCCTTGTTGTTCATATAGTTGCACAAAACGCTCAATTTCCCGGTGACAAATGTTGCGTAACTTATGTTCGCTGTCAAAGAATTGCATTATCGTTAAAACCCCACCAGTACTTGGCCCAGCTGTTGGCCGCAGGAAAAAAAAAAGAAAGACTAGAAACGATTCTAGTCGGATGAATGTGGGCGCTCCTGTAGTGGCCCGCACGTTTCCTAAAATCGCGGCTCGTTAACGGGCACGACTTTAGGAAGTACCATGCACACCTTCACAAAAAAAGAAAGCATTTGATAGTGCCCAGCGAGATAGTGCCCAGCGAATAACCCGATCCAAAGAATAACCAGAGCGATCCGATGATGCGAAGCCTACGATCTCTCTGAAAAACCTTGAAAAAACTAGGGTTTGCCTATGGGACTTGCCCTGGCATGCTTACCCGTAGCGCTCGAAGTGCCTGGTACGACGTGGCTCGTTCGATAGTGCTTCAATCAGGGCGGGGGAGGGAAGAGAGAACCTGCTTAGCCCCGATGCCGTTAACCGCTGTCCGGTAAAAAAAATCGCTAGTAGGGATGCCCAGGGGATTGTGATGATGAGTAAGGGTGGGAGGGTGTTTCAAAGGGGCCGGTTAGGCAATACATCAGGATGATCAAATGGTCAGCTGCTGATGGGCCTGTCATATGCCCAGTAGCCAGCCTCTACAACAACCTGGACTTATTAGAAGTAATAACAAACTTTTAAAAAAGGAGCATACCTACGCCTCATCCGCTCGTCGACAGAATTGCACCCTAACAGCCACTGTTCTCGTTTTGCCACGCTACACATGTATCACTCATGCCACATCAAGCCTTCTACGTCAGACGCACTCCTGCCTTTGCCTACGGCGTGAACATAGCTGGCCTCAGGGGAGGGGGTGTGGGGGAGGGGAGGGCGTGGCCGCCCTCCACACATGAGCATACTTCATCAACGAGTTCCCTGGGATGAACATAAGAAACAGCGTGTGCTCGCGTCGGGGAGGAGCACATAAACACGTTGCCTGTTCAGAGCAGACGCACCACCGCCGGCTACTCTTGCGGCCGGCTATTCTTGCGGCCGGCTATTCTTACGGCCGGCTATTCTTGCATGGTCTCAACAAACACTACAATAGATGTTGTACACACAACATTGCAATGCTCACATGATACGAGAGACGGGAGAAACAATTGCAAAAAAATTGCTGCACGGATGGTATTCCACTATTTCTCCCAGTTTTTTTGCTTTTATCAGAAGTTCGCAGTTCTTTATTTTCAACGAATTGAAGGTAGCTTGGCTGGGAAGCAGAGGTATAATTAATCAAGATAGATAGGGTAGGACTGGATGCTTTAAGTAATCTCCCTCTGCTTCGTTACGTTCCTTTCCTTTTTTTTCTTTTTTAAGCTGTGCTTATCTGGATTTTGCATGATGGATTGGGGTAAGATGCTTGATGCTGGATTCTAAGCGTTTCTAGTAGGACGAATTTGGGCGCCTGTTTGTTCATGACTGCAGCGGCTTGTTAACGGCCGCGACTTTCCGAGGTACTGGTGGTTTACGAGGAAGCCGAACTGTGCACGTGTTTTTACCTCCTTAAACTACCACCACCTTCGTGCCTCTTTTTGCCAAGGCGGAAAAGGACGAGCTTTGCCGAAGCACCAGCGTGACTTCATTTCTTTTTTTTTTTGGCTGGAGCCACGAGCCATCTTGGTCCGGCAGGTTCAGCCGAAGAATGCGGTTTGTGGCAAATTCGAGTTTCCAGTTTTTTTGCCTCTGGCCTCGTTTTTGCCAAGGCCGAATAGAAATGTACACCGAGATTTGCCGAAGAGCGAGCGCAACTTTCTTTTTTTTTTTTTTTTGGCTGGAGCCGCCAGCCATTCTTGTCCAGGAGGTTAAGCCAGCCGAAGAATGTGGTTTGTGGCAAATTCGTGTTTCCAGTTTGCCTGTGAAGGGTAGTGGTGGTTAAAGAGATCCTCTTTCTTCAGTCCTACGGGACACCCGTTACAATTGGAACGATACAGAGAAGATTACCATGGCCTCTGCGCAAGCATGACACACACGTATATCAAAAAATGTGATATATATATAGCCTTTTCTGATTTAAACCATCGGCAAAAGCAAAACTGAAGGGAGACACCAACGGGCCGAGCTCAGTTGGTAAGCCCACACACTGCTGATATTAGTCCGTCAGTTTGATGATGATATTCCAAGGCCCCATTGCCCTTCTTAGAGAAAAAAAAAGAAGCAATGAAGGAAGAG